AGCTCAGTCTCTGACCCATGCTTATCCCAGTTTAGGCTTCCTCACAGCTCGGAAGGTGCTGTGTGCAGGAAGGTGGAAGAGATGTGCTGGGTGGAAGCTGTTGGCCCTTCAGCAGTCTCCCAGTCCCCTTTGTGCTGCACCCAGTTCAAGGAGCAGCCCCAGCCCACCCCCAACCCCTGCCTGAGAAAGGATTTGTCACCAGGGAGAGCCCCTCCTTCCTTCATCCCCACCTGCACCCAAGACAGTACACAGAGGTGCCGATCTTGCTGGGATCTGTGAATGCAGAATTTGACAGCCCAGTCTGGGGGACCTGTTTCCAGGTTCCTGTGGATGCTGGCGGCTTCTACCAGGCAGGAAAGGTACCTATGGGGTCCCTGGGGCCTTTGGTCAATGACTTCACGGAGTAACCCCGTGGCCCAGTTGTGCTATGCAGCGCGCCCTGCTCTGTCCCCAGCTTCTGGGAGCCAGCACTGAGTGACAGAAGGTAGCTGGGCTCTGGGATCCCCGGCACAGTGTGGGCTGGGGGCGCTGCTGGTGTCAGCACGGAGTTTAGTGGGATTGGGTGAGGGATACACGGACCTTCCTCTAATACCTGTGACCCACAGTGTCGACGGGATACCAGGAAGCTGGCCGAGGGGCTGGAAGGAGCAGGGTCTCCCAGAGGGAGACCACCTCCAGATCAGCCCTGCTGGACTGCCTGCACAGCCCTCCACCTTCTCTGGAAGTGGGGGTGGGGTGGGGGTGTCTTGTATTATCAAGCCCAAGCCCAAGCTTGTTTTTAATTAAAACACTCGTCCTTTAATTAAAGGCTTGTAACACATGAAGGGCATTCACTGAAATACGACGGTGACATCGTCATTACCCTGCTGTTAATTACTAATTAATGAAGCTATTTCAATTAATAGCTTCCCATGTCACTCCCCCTCTGACAGGGCCCTGTGCTGGGGCAAGTCTCCGAGAGAGAGTTAAGAAGCCAGAGCCGCTAGGAGTCACTACGTGAGTGTCCAGTCGGCCAGCCAGGCTGCTCCTGCTCCTGACACTGTCCAGACAGTAGTCCCTGTAGGCTCTGCCCTGTTGAGGGGGGGACACTGGCCTAGGGAACTGAGGTGCAGAGGCCCCGAGGCAGACAGACTTGGAGCTCTCAGGTTGTTGATCTATAACTGAAGGACTGAGGAACAGTGAGAGCATTTCTGGAGGTGGAATGCCTTTAACCTGCTAACATGAATGCAAATCAGTCTTTAAAAAGGTGGGGACACCCTGTTTTGTGTGAAGGAGGGGGCTGTGGGGTCAGGAGGGGACAAGGAGTAGGTAGGGTCCACCTAGAAGGATGAACCCATTGGGAGAATGCACAGAACTCCAGGGCACATGGCGTGTGCTCAGGGGGACATCCCGGGAGCGGCTGAATGGGCTGCTTCAGGGAGACTGGTCCTGCTCGGTACGTTTTCTCATGTTTTCCAACATTTCTAAACTAAAGGTGATGACAGCAAACACGTGAAACAACCCCCAGCCTTCCTGGCTTCCCTCCACCCTCTCTCATCCTCTGTCTCCATCAAAGTCAGTGGACTAATTCTTAAGGGTTTCTTTCCCCTCTCGCTGTCTCTGGGGAACCCACATGGGCCTCTGTCCCCACTTGGGTCTCTTGTCTGCTGTCTGGGCTCAGCCCTGAGAACAGCGCTTCTTTCTCTTCATCGCCTCTTCCTCATGGTGGTGGGTCCAGACCTGGGCAGAGGGGCTGGAAAAAGGGTTCCTGTGACCCACTGAGAGGCCCTGAAGCTGGAATGGGGCCCAGGCGCACCCCCACACACCCATTCACATGCTAGCTCCTCAGAGGCCCCCTCCCTGTGCCAGCACTCTTCACACAGATGTCCCCTCACACTTGCCCTTCACCCCACCTCCCCTCCTCCACCATTGCCCTCACTGCCCCCATCTCCTTCCAAGATGATCTTATAGGCAGGGGGCACAGAGAGGGTTTTACCACATGGGAGGGGATGGGCAGCAAGTGGCCTCACTCCCAGCAATAGGAGTGGACACAGCCCTGTCCAACGGTGCCCTCTTTCTGTCATCTGGAAAACAACAAGGATCTGATTTTCCAGAGACACCTGCCATGTCGGGCACAAGTGCAAACTTACTCATATATACACACATGCTTTACATATTCATACATGCACATGCATACATACAAATACAAACACACTCATACATGTACACATGCTTACACATACATACATATGCAAACACAAATATATGCACACATCCTTACATATTCATACACGTACACACACATACAAATATAAACATACACACATGCTTACATATTCATACACACATACAAATGCAAACACACTCATACACTCATGCTTACATATTCATGCATGTACACACATATGCAAACATACTAATGCAAGCATGTGTTCTTACAAATTCATGAACACATGCAGAAATACAAACACATATACACATATATACTTACATATTCAGACACGCGCTTATACATACACACTTGCCTGCATGTTCATACACGCACACCCTCACATACATGTGCACACACATGCACATTCACAACACACTCGCACACATACATGCATATGCAGATGCTCATACATACACACGTGCCTACATATTCATACCACACACTCCCACACATACATACATGTGTACATTCACAGCACACAGTGCTTTCATATTTATGTGCACACACACATGAACATGTGCACACAGCTCATAAATACCACTTGCTTTCATGTTCATCTGTGCACCCACGCACGTACATACATATGCAGACACACTCACGCACACACACGCTGTTGTTCATACAATGCTCACACTCAGCGATATTCAATAACACACCTACACATACATACTCATACTAGCATGCACACTTTCTCTCTCACATACACATGAACTCACATAGTTCCTCATACACTCACACTCACACACAGATGGATGGTCTCAGCCACTCTGTGCACCCTTCTTTCAGGTAGTCAAGGGGCATCGTGAAGTGATGAGGGGGTCCTTTTGGCAGCTTCTGGAATCTTGAACTGAGATACAAATTGCAAGTTGGGAGCTGTAGCTGATCAAGTGTCAGAGAGAAAGTGAGTGAGCCAGTGATACACAGAGAGAGAGAGAAAGAGGGAAGGAGAGAGACAGAGAGAATGTGTGCGTGAGAGAGAATGAGAGACAGAGAGAAGGAGAGAGACAGAGAGAATGTGTGAGAGAGAGAAAGACAGAGGAGAGAGACAGAGAGAATGCGAGAGAGACAGAGAAGGAGGGAGAGTAAGAGACAAATGAGTGAACCAGTGAGAGAGAGAGAGAGTTAAGGAGGCAGGGCTTGCCTGTTGTAGGGTGTTCCCCATGCGGCCCTCATGTGAGCCCCAGGCAGGGTCACAAAGTGGGCAGGGGCCTGCCTGTCTGAACCAGATAACTGGCATCTCTCCCAGCCTGGCTGTGCCTAGAAAATGTGAGCTGTCTACCACTGTCTACCCTGAGCCACTCCTTCCTGCCTCCAGGTCCTACACAAGCCCCTCCACGTCCCCTAGCCAGCCCATGAGGCAGCCAGCTCCCAGCCCAGACCAGCCGTGGAAAGTTCAAACCTAATAGTACCACTCAGATCCCCACAGCAGTGAGGCAAGGAGCCCATTTGTGCCGCCAGTCTCCACCCCAACCTCCATTCTGCCAGGACATTAGGGTAATATGACAAAACAAGAAACCTTGGGGGGCTGTCCGAACTGTGTAGCTCACCTCCCTAGGTCTTAGCTCCCCCTCTGAGGTCCCCAGCATGGGAGAAAGAATCTACCCACCTCCCACCTCAGGTGACCTGCAGAGCCACAGACCTTTTTGGGGGCTCTAGGTGGTGGAGCCCCCCAGCAGACAGCAGGTTCCCAGGGGAAGGGAACTCTCATTTTAAAGTTGGTTATGAGTAAAACATACACGTTTCTAAAGGCCTTCATTTAAATAATTTTAATAATCATCATTTAAATAAGACTTTGTTGTGATCTTGCACATTTTTATAATTTCTTTACATACTCATAAAAATCTATCACTTGCTCATTCATGATATGACCAGCTCCTCGGGTTATGGGAAAGGGGCCTAACTGGGTCTGGGGGCCACACCCACCGGGCCCAGCAGGGTGGTGGTCAGCTGAGGTAGGGTTGCCCACCCACAAGACAGCAGGCAAAGCGGTGCCCCCACCTGGTATGCCTCTCACTGGGATGCACTTGAGGTGTTTGGGAGCCTCACCCTTGTAGCCTTGGGAGAGCGGGACCACCAGTTCTGAAACAGCTTCATTGGGCAGGCGCTGCATTCTCAGGATGCAGATTCAAGACCAAAACTCAGGGGTGGGGGCAGCCAGGGTCCCCAGAGATGGACCATGACCCTCTACTGGGAGCAGAAAGAGTTCCGCTTGCCTCTAGCTCTACCTTATGGAAACACACAACCCCTTCATAGGCCTTTATCTAGAGCTGTGGGTCTCAGCCAGGGAGGTTTCCTTCTGGGAAAGAGCAACGTCTGGAGATGTCCCCTGGAGTCAGAATAGACTTGATGGCAGTGGCTTTGTTCTAGGGGAAGACATTGTGGGTTTCGGGGTGGGGGAGCTGCCAGTATCAAGTGGGCAGAGGCTGCAATGCCCACAACAGCCCGTCCGAGAGGAGGTGATCTTGACTGTCAGGGAAGCATGGCTGGGAGGGCAGCACCGCCTGGCCCTGTCCTGTCCCCCAGGGCCATGAAGCTGCTGCCGCTAGAATGATTGCACCCCGAATCCCTGATAGTCAGCCCTACCCTGTGCAAGATGCCCCACTGCAAGTGGGGAAACCAAGGCTCAGAGCAAGGGCGGATCTTGTACTGACCCCAAGGTCGCTCCTGGGCTGGGGAGCTGGGGAGCCTGCAATGGCATCCTTGTGTTCCTACACCCCAGTACCCCACACCCCATGCCCCCTTGTTTTGAATCCTGCACCCAGGTGGTGAGCTCACCCAAAAGGAAAGGGAAGGGGCTGGGGTTGGGGGGCTAAAGGTCTTCATGGGTTGGGTTCAGGTCCACCCGTTGAGCCTCCCCAAACACCAGGAAAGTACAGAGGCCCAGAATGCTGACGATGGCCACCAGGTTGAAGAGGGAGGTCCAGGAACCTGTGGTTTCCATCAGGTAGCCGCCCAGGTACACGCCCACCACACCTGGACCGGAGAGAGGAGGAGGCTGTCCCAGGGCCGGAACTCCATGGAGAATGGAATCCCAGAATTCCTATGTCAGAGGGACTGGGACAAGAGACCTCAGAGGCCCATACCTACCAGGGATAGCCCACTCGGCAGAGCCCCTTGCCAAAGGCCCTGTGAGTCCCCGCAAAGAGGAGCTGGAGTGTGGGGCACAGGGACCCTGGCCACGAAGATGTGGTAGGTCAACCTGAATCCCTTCCCCACATCTGAGTCTGGGCCATATCCACCACTGGTGGGTGCCAATAGAGTCCTGTGCTCTCCCCCACACACAGGTCTGACATCTTGGACCCTGTCTTAAGAGTGTACCCCACGAGCACCGTCCTGCCTAGAGGAGCCAGTCGAAGAGGTGAAAGGATGGGGTGGGGCAGAGGGCACCATGACTCTAAGCTATCTCAGGTTGGCATGACCCTGTGGGGACCACTTATAGAGCCTCTTACCTGCCAAGGCCCCCGCTGTGTTGGCCACACCTGTGAAGGGGCCAGAGAGCAGGAATGGGCACTGGTCAGTCAGAGAAGGCTGCCAGGACCCTCCTCGCTGCCTTCAGGGGCCTCCAGGGTAGGACTGGGGGCTGGGTGTCCTCACCAAACAGAAAGCCAGCACAGGATGGGGCCAGGTCCTGAATGTTGACAGAGATGCCACTGCAGGAAGACAGGGAGGTGGTAGGGTGTGACTGCAGGGCAGTGTGACCCCATGGGATGACCTTCAGCCTCAGAGACCACAGCCAAGAGGCTGGCGTGGGAAGGAAGGCTGCGCATCTCTGGAAAGGACCCCCACCTACCACCTCATATCCCCCAGGGACCCCTCGCCATAGGTCACAGGGAGGGGAAGGGTCATTATCCTTTCCATGCACTTAATGTGAAAGGTTCCCCCAAACACTTCCAGTGGGGTCTTCATGAGTGCTCAGAACAGACCGGGAAGGGACTCAACAGAGGGCAAGGACCCGGGGGACAAAAGTGGCTACTCGCTCCACCCCACCCTATTCCTAGGCTGGGCCCCTCTGCTTCCCAGACTCCCTCCCTCATGGGGCAGAGTTTCCCAGAACAAACAGGGCTTCACCTGTGGTTGAAGGTCTGGAGACCGAGGGAGGCTGACGCGAAGACCATGGACTTGAAGAAGCTGGAGGTGTGGCCCAGACACAGGGCAAAAACGCTGGACAGGCCGAGGCCCATGGCCTGTGGCAGAGACGGTGTGAGGGCCAGAAGGCAGATGGACTGTGCCTACAGCAGGCACACTTCCTCCTGGCTCCTGGGAGTGACCCTAAACCCTGGGGATTTCTGGAGTGGTAGGCGTGTCTTTCGACTCCACGGCATAGAATCACCAACAGGCGCGTCTTTGACACTCATCCTTGGCTCCTTGGACCCATCAGAATGTTAACTCTATTGAGGTAACTGGGGTGGCCCCTCAGAGGTCATCCCACCTTCTGGGAGGTGAGGGGGGATGGGCAGGAGACTGTGTTCAACTCTAATTGGGTGATTGGGTGATCTGTTGGGACACCCAAGCTGACAAGCTTCCTGGGCTGGCTGTGCACCTGACCCCACCCAGGACCCCACGCGACTCCTCCTTTAGTGGTTCATTTGTGTCCTTCTGCTACAATGTGTTGTATCATATCACACACAGGTTACATATTAACACCATCTGTCATCACATGTGTGGTGGCTCATTTCACATGTCACCGTGGCTTGGCCGTGGTGCCCAGGTTTGGTCACACCCTGGCCTGGATATTTCTACGAAGCCATTTCATGTGATTAAGTCAGTCAACCTTCACATAAGGCAGATCACGTCCATCATGTGGATGGGCTGCCTATCACCAGGTGAAGGCCTGAAGAGTCTGCCTCCAGACTAGAAGCCAACATCCTGCCGGAATTCCTCTCCCCCTCAAGGCCTGACCTACCTACATGGAACAAGAGACAGCCTGCATTTATGGCCTGCTGACCTGCGGATTTGGGATTAGCCAGTCACCACTATCATGTGAGGAGTCCCGGTGTGGGACTAGACGATAAACTCTGGGCTGCTAACCAGAAGGTTAGCTGTTCAAACCCACCAGCAGCTCCTCGGAAACCCTACACAGGGTTGTTATGAGTTACAACCAACTCAACAACACTTAACAGCAACAAGTGTCCTGTGAAGGAACCCTGGTGGTGCCCTGGGCTAAGTGCTGGGCTACGAATGGAAGGACAGAGGTTCAAACCCACCGCCACTCCATGGGGGAACATGAGGCTATGTGTCCCATCAAGATCGAGTCTCAGAAACCCCATGGGGCAGAAATCTTATAGGGTCGCTATGAGGTGAAATTGTCTCGAGGGTACTAGCATCGTGTGAGTCAATTCCTCAAAATCAATGTCTCTCTTTATATAGACTTGTTAAGTGCCATCAAGTCAGTTCTGACTCAGTGACTCTTTATAGGGTTTGTGAGGAGCAGCTATTGAGTTTGAACCGTCGACCCTGCAGTTCAAACTGACCTTGCGGTCCAGTGCATTATCCTGTAGTACCATACTAGGGAGCTTCAAAAAGTTCGTGGGAAAAAACAGAGTGAAAGAGAATGGAATTTTTCCATGAATGTTTGTTTAGACACGACCTTAGAGACCGCGGTCCACTAGCCCTGTTTCTTTAACAGCCCGGAAACCCCTCAGACCTTGGACATGTAGCACATCTCAAGCGAGGGTGTCTAGGGCACAGTGCCCAGAAAACAGGACAGGCTTGGCCCCATCCCTGTCAGAAGGTATCAGGACGTGTGCTACACAGGCAAGGCCAGTTCACGGTTGGGTCTAGTGGAGCCCACGGGACATGAGTTCAAGACCAGAAAGGGGCGTCTGTGGTTGAAGGGACACAGGGTCCATGTGGGGCGTCCACACTGCCCCCAACACCAGCCCCAGAGCACCTTTCCACCATGGTGCTGAGCGACTCCCCTCTGGGTCTCAGCACTAGCCCCTTGGGAGGGCCCCAGAAATGGGATGTTTGGGGGGTACAGTCCTCAGACCCAGAGATCCAGGTGAACAGTCTCCTACCTGCATGAACTTGCGCACCACGATGGTCCGGTAACCTGAGAGGAGAGCGCAGGAAAGGCTCTGTCTGTCTGGTGGTCAGGACAGAGTCTGGACACACAGGGGCAGGACAGACAGCTGTACTTGGTGGGGCTTCAGAGCCGGGGAGGGAAGGATGGGCCTCAGAGCTCAGGACTGGGGTGTCCCACGGCACAGTGAACGTGTACTTGTGTGTGTGTGGGTGCACTTGTGCAACCCAACCCACACGTGTCCTGGGAGACCCCAAGGTTGTGACTGGGTGGCCAGCATGGGAAGGCTGTATGAGTGAACACTCAGCAGTCAAGTGGGGACTCGAGCCTCCTGTGTTTGACCACTGCCTAGTTGCCCACTGTAAGCATGCGCCACTTCAAAGTTAGAAGAAAGCACTGGCCCTCGACAGCGGGCATGTGAGCACAGGTGCGGATTCGCTGGACACTCACAGCTGACCCCAGGACTAGCCTCACAGGCACAGCTAGGGCTGAGTGCTTCACATCCCTTTATTAAATGCAGAAACTGAGGCTGGAGCAGCAGTTTGAGGTAGGCTAAGGCCTGGTTACTACTAGAGCATGGGCCCCCCACTGCCCTGCTGTGTCCATGCTTAACGCCAGGACTGCCTTTGAAGGGCAGACTGGGTTTCCAATGTCACAGCGGAGGCCTCCTCCTTGTGTGGAGATGTCTCCCTGAGCCCCCAAAGTGAGGCACACCAAAGGCTCCCCATCCCCCAACTCTGGGCCCCCCACTTCCCAGCCCTCTCCTTTAGTCTCACCATGACTGATGAGGTGATCCGAGAGAAAGCCACTGAACAGACTGGCGGGGATCGCAACCAGCCAGGGCACCACGTTGAAGACCCAGCCCTATGGGGAGACCCCATACCTGGTGACGTCCACTCCCACATCCATACAGCAGCCCCTGCCTCCTCGCCCACCACCATCTACTCCTCACAGTTCTGCCCACCCCAGGGCATCCCTGTACCACATGGGTGGTGGCAGGCAGCCAGGGTGATTTCCCTTCCCCCCCAAACCAGGAGGGTCCCGATGTCTGGGTACAGTGCCTCTCCCACCCAGCAGGCCAGGTGCCCAGGTTGGGAGTGGAGGGGTCCTGGGGTCTCAAGCAGCCACGTGACCGTCACACTATAGGACACGGCTGTGGGACACTGAGTAAAGGCCATGAGGATGGACACAGTGTGGTGGCCAGAGCACCCCAACCTGCCTACAAACAGAGATGTGTCCATGTGCAGGTGAGGCATTCCCAGCTATGAGGTCCCGACCACCACAGGGTCCCCGTGGTCTCTGCATGGGGCCGGGATGCAGAGACCCCCCATCTCAAGCGCAGCCCAGCCTATATGTGCCACAGGAAGAGGCAGACCCACCTTGGAGCTGGGGAAGGTCTCCCTGAAGAAAGTGGGTAACCAGGAGAGCAGAGTGAAGAAGGCACATGCGGAGGACAGCTGGGAGCCAACAGCCGCCCTGGGGGGCAGGACGCAGCTCAGCCACAGTACCCCCACCCACAGCCAGGGTGCCCCTGTGAGCTGGACCCCAGTGTGTGGCCCAGTCAGAAAGTCAGGCACGTCCACTCCGGTCAGTCAGCACTGGAACCCATGCTGACTCCTCCCCCATCCACCCCTCTGCCATGCGGTGGGGTGACCAGCTTGGCTCACCAGACGGCAGGCTTCCGGAAGAGCTGTTTCCAGCGGACCTTGGTGTGTCTGGATATGGGTGGGCCTCGAACCAATGCACCCAGGGCCATGAGGAGATCTGAGGAACGGATCCTATCAGAGCTGCATTCCCTTTGGCCTGGGCAGGCGGGGCTTGCTAACAGACCGTGATAGGGTGGCTCAAGGTGTCAGTATGCCTCAGCCCCGCCAATCTGCCACCTCTGTTGGCATACCCCAGCCATCCACTAAGGCCCCTGGACCCACCACCCTTGGGCAGGAGAGTGTCAGCTTCTAGAAGTGGGGTCCCAAGTGCATTTCTGCATCCTTCCTGGAGCCCGAGGGCTTGGCCTTCAGCCCCCTATCTCCTGATCACCATAAGACTTAACTGCCTTTGCCTGGTGGCCTCCTCCCTCCTTCTTATCCCCAAATGGAACACTCTGGATAGAATGTGGTGACTTTGAGCAGAGATCAGAGCTTGGGAGTGTGGCATTTTTACCAAAGCTTTCACTAGTTCGGGCGCAATGGTGGTTCAGTGATAGTGTTGCCTCACACACGTCAGGGGAGGCTTCTGTGTTGCTGTGATACTGACTGGGCTCCAATGGGGCTTCCAGAATAAGACTAGCAAGAAAGGCCTGGTGACCTACATCAATGAAAACTCAATGGTGACCCACGATGGGGAGTGTTTTGTTCTGTTAGTCAGAGGGACCTTGAGAGTTGGGGGCTGAATTGACAGGCGTTAATAAAAACCAAGCTAGTCTAGAGGATTCTTTCAGGGGTGGGGGAGAACAGAGTGACACCACTGCCAGTGACCCCTGCAGGGGGCACACAGGTAGGCTCTCGCCCACCACGGAGAAGCTTCTCACCCTGCCTGCTCCACCTGTTGTTACCTTTTTCATTCAGCAGGTATCTGTACACATAATACACCCAGAGCAAGGTGAGCCCGCCGGAGAAGTAGAAGACGCTGGGCCAGCCATGGCGGTCTAGGAGCAGGGAGCCCACGCCTCCAGTCACCAGTGTTCTGAAAGGACAGAGCCGAAGCCGGGAGTCACCCTGGAGTCCCCACAGGCAGCTGCTGGCAGTCTCTACCCTGCTGCTTTGGGAAGGATTTCTGGTATCCAACGAAAGACTTTCTGAGAAGCAGAGTGGACTTGGGCAGGGGTGGGGTGGTTACATTCAGGGGCCCTATGGGTCCCCCAAGTATGTCCCTCTGTGTCCCGCTTAGGGGCACACTGAAATCTACAATGTGACTGTCTAGTCCGCCCGCCCTGCTGGTTGGCCACATCCTCAGTGGGGTGAGCATGTGTCCACTCATGAGGTGGCCGAGGGGCTGTGATGATAGCAAGGCCATGGACTGGGAGGCCCGGAGTTGTTGGAGGGTGGACGCAGGCAGGGACTCCTTAAGCACGTGCTGCTTGCCCGTGAAGGCTGTCAGCCAGCAGTCCCCAGAGAGGGCCACCAGCTGAGAGGAAAAGGGTCTGCTAACCACCACGTCACCACCAGTTCCCGCTCTCCCCAGCCCCATGACTGGACTGTGTGGAGAAATGTTGCTCTGGGCCGGGCGGGCAGCAGTGCTGGACCATAGCCTCAGAAGGGGGTCTCCTGGCACTCATCTGACTCAGCGCCCCAACTCACCCAACCTGGGAGCCAGCGCCCACGGTGCTGTAGGTGAAGGCCCGCTCACTGTCCCGCACCTTCTGTGACAGGAGGCTGGTCAGGGCCGGGAAGTGGACGCCTGGAATGAAGGGTGCAGAGGTGCAGCCTGAAGGGTCACAGAACACCAGGAAGCACTTCCTGGGCCCCCACAATGAAGAGGGTGATACACGTTTGCACTGTGAATTCGGAGGCCCTCAGGTATCCTGGCAGGTGTGGCCGAGGGCACGAACACGGTCCATATGGACTGTAGGACAAAGCAGGGCCGAGGGGTGGACAGGGACGGTGGGCACGGAGAGCGGGTTACGGGGGTCATTTCACTGTGTATTCTATGATTATCTTTGTTTTTTACTTTTCAACAGTCATTGTAGTTTTCTTTACTAATAAACATTACAGGTGTTTGTCTGGTTTTAACCTGGCCACACCAAATCATCTGTGTCTCCAGAGGCAGAATGCTGGGGCGGGGTGAACGGTGTGTTTATTTATTTTTGGCTCAAGTGTTTGTGCTTTCCAAAGTGTGGAGCAAGTCCCGATCGCAGGGTTTTAAAGACCTGAGCTGAGTGCACTATATCGTCGGCGTGTTGCTCAGCCCTGCACACTATGTTGTTGTTGTGAAGTGCCGTTGAGTAAGTTCCAACCCATAGTGACCCTGTGTAGGGTTTCCAAGGAGCAGCTGGTGAGCTTGAACTGCCGACTTTGTGGTCTAGTGCATTAACCCACAGCGCCACGGCTCACTGGGGTCTGGGGTGGGGAGCCTGAGCCCATGGGGCAGAAACAAAGGGGCTTCCACCTGCGTCTCAGGGCCAGGGCCCTGTCTGTGGTCACATGCACACCACTTACCCAGAGTGGCCCTGTTCAAACGGCTGCCACTGGACCATATCTGTCCCCAGTTCAATGGGCTGAGCTGGTGGCTACTTTCCAGGCCATAGGAGGTATCAGCCACACAGAGCCCCCCCCACCCCACCCAGGATGTGGAGAAACAGCCGAACTGAAGCTCAAAAAGGGGAGTTGGTTCAGATGCCTCGTCCTCATGCCCTAAAGAATGGCCTACCCCCACCAAAGTTCTCCTGGGTCACCCAGAGGCCCCAGGGCAGGAGGAGCTCCTGGCCTTGGGGAAGATGAATGTCTCCCCTGCTCCTCCACAGATGTAAGGAGCCCCCCACCTCAGCCCATCCCACCCAACGGCAACCACTGGCACTGAGGAGAATCACGAAGCCACACAAGCCGATCCTCTGCCTTCAAGTGTACCTCTTGGCAGAGGAGTGGCATCTAACACTAAGATATGTTGGCCTCTGAGGAGTGTCTAGAAAACACAGCCTCAAGTGTCAAGAATGAGGATAAGCAAACTGTCCCAGTGAGGGCGAGGCTCACCGAGAGCCAGCACCCCTAGCAGGAGCCCTTCCTGGGTCTGGTCACCCTCGAGGACTGCCCCGTCCTGCTGGTCCAAGGTCCGGAGGACCCTCTGGGATCCAAAGGCAGGCTGCACTGGACACTGACCATGCCTCGTCTTCTCCACACCTGCCCCTGCCTGCACCAGCCCTGACCAAAGCTCTGTCCTGTGGTGACTGGTGGTTCATTCCTTCCTTCCTTCATCCACTCAACATGGGATCCACAAGGGCCTCCATCGGGTTGGCACTGCGTCACACCTTGAGGTCATCTGACTATACAGGGCCGTGACTATGGGGACTCAGGGACAGGACCAAACAATACCAACAACCCAGGCACCATACTGGTGGTCACAGAGGGCTGGCCATGTGTGGGCCGCGGGAGGCCTGGTGCTGCTGAAACATATGTGTTTCTCACACGCCAGCCTGGACTCTGAGTGACCTCTGTATGAGGACAGACCCTAGCCCTCCTCCAGGAAGGGCTGAAACTCTGTGAGGTAGGAGGGAAGAGGTCTGGGAGGAAGCTTCTAGACTGCTGGACTTCGGGAGGACAGGCAGAGAGGCCTAGGCTCTGGGGGAGCAGAGCCCAGTTCTACCCTGGAATCACAAGTGGACAGGGATCCAGGGGCAGGGTAGGGGTGGACAAGGGGCAGGAATCTCCCTGTAGACCCCAGAAACTCTCAGAAGGGTTCCAGCTGGCAGGCAGCCCCCATTCCCACCACATCTGTGCAATTCCAAGTTCAAGTGACACAAACTTATGAAAACTGGAACTGAAGTCGGCCCCTCTGGCTGGAAAGTGTAGTTCACAGAGCCAACATGTCTGATGACAAAGCTCTGAAGCTGTGCTTCACCAGCCCTACTATGTCACTCCTGAGAGCATCTGGAAGTTCACAGACACACACATGTGTACAAGCATGTGCACACGTGGACACAGATGTGTGGGGGTGCAACATATGCATGCATGCACATGCGCACACACCGATGTGGGAACACGACACACATGCAGGCTCACAGGTGTGTGGACATGTGGGAGCACAGCACATACATGCACACACACGTGCACTCACCAACACGTGGGAACATGACACACATGCATGCTCGCAGGTACATGGCTATGTGGGAGTGCAACACATACACATATATGTGTGCACTGAACACACATCAACACACATGGATGCAATGAACACATGCATTCACATGTACACATGTGCCTGCACACATGCCCATTCTCACACAGACACCCCCCTACTCTGCTGACTCTGACAGCAGCGAGTCTGGCCACAGCCTCACCTTGGAGCAGGCCCATGAGGATTCGAGAACAGGTCATGAAGGCCAGCTGGGCAGTGCTGAGGTGGGTGAGTAGGGGAGTAGCAGCGGTGATGAGGCCCCAGGCAGAGGCCGATAGCAGGATGACCTTCTCACCCCCGATCCTAGGGGTCCAAAGGGTGTACGATAAGGGGTGAGAAGTAAAAGGTGGGGGGTGATGGTGGGCAGGGGACATGGAGGGTCAGGTGAAGGGGCTAATTTGTCCATCCATGCGTCTCTGTGTGCCCACTCTGCCCCAGAACCACTCTGTTAGGACTCTGGGTGACCTCAGGGCTGCTGTATGAGACTGGCCAAGCCCCTTCCCAGCTGACCCACTTCCTTCTGTCAGTGTGGACACTTTCCTTTCCCCACAACCCTACCTTCTTCCTCGGGATGGGGTCTCTATCCAAATTTTGCCACCAACAGCTGGCCTTCCCTAGGGTCACTTCCTCTTCCCAGCCAGTCCATCCTCCCCTCTGTCAAGAGGCCCACATGTTGGGGGTTGGAAGATGGGAGTGTTACCGGTCCCCAAGGTGGCCGCCCACCACCTGTGTCAAGCAGTAGCCCCAGAAGAAGCTGCTCAGCACGATGCCCGCCTCCGTCTTGCTCCAGCCGAAGTCCTGGCTCATAGACACGGTGCACACAGACATGCTCACACGGGCACAGTAGAGCAGGCAGGTGCCCAGAAGCAGTGTCCTCGTCCATGCCTGGCACTCGGGCCTGTGGGAACAGGGTGGCGGTCAGACTGGGTCCCTCCATGAACCCGGTCATATTTCTGGGAGGAGAGCAGAGCCTCTGGTGGCTCCTGGAAGGGCAAGCAGGCGTCAGACACAGCCCTGTACACGGTATTGTTGGATGGTAGAGGCTGCCCAGCCTGTGGGTGCTTCTCACTGCAGCGAGAGGTGGGTTTGAGAGGGCAGAGGGAGGGGATGGGGCGTACCGGATGGGAAACCCCTTCCCTCCCCTCACAGCAGTGACCCACAGGCTGTGTGGGAAATGATTGAACATGACCCACAGGCTGTGTGGGAAATGATTGCTCAATGTTGTTCTCACTCTGGAACAACTGTGAGCCCCCAAGGCTGTGTGGGACCACTTGGTATACCAGAACATGAGGCAGGTCTTTCCGGATCTGTCTGGTAATGGGGCTCATCCCACAGCGCCCTCTATAGGCCAGGACCAGGTAGGTCAGTAAGTGCCTAGGACAGCATCTTTGACTGGAAAGTCTTTGGGTCCAGGCAGGCAACAAGGAGCCATTGAGACGGGCTGGCTCTCAGGCAGGCTGGCAACAGGAGCCGTGTCCACCTCCTCCAGCCAGCATGCCTGCCCTGGCCCGTGCCTGCTTTGCAAATCGCAGCTGTACTTTTCCAAAGCCTCGAGCCTTCGAGGGTGAGTTCAGGCAAGACCCCTGTCCTCTGTGGCTATACACACAAGCAGTCCTCCCTTATGGATGTGGGAATTAGATCCTCCCAGAGGGGTGCTCCTCCAGGGAACAAGAATCGCCCCCCCCCACACACACACCTGAGAGCCTTCAGGGAATGACCACCACCAGGTGGACGTCCCTGGCTCCAAACAGCTTCCCCAGACTGGTTAGGCCCAGGGCCCCTTCCCCAATTGGGGTTTGGGAATTATAGTCACCAGAACGATCCTAAACCAGGTGTAGAATTGACCACAGTCAGAGTGACCACATGGGTCAGAGGAGAGCTCTACTCCACAGGGTTTGCAGGCCTTTCCTCTGAGGTACTTCTGGATGGATCTGTACTTGCAATCTTTCGATAAGCAGTCAAGTGTTTTAGGCTCTGAAGCACATACTGGGAACTGAGAGAGCCCAGACCCATGCCCCAAGAGGACTTGGGGGAGCTCTCCTCTTCCCTGAGCCTCAGTTTCCTCATCTGCAGTGAAGAAGGGGGCAGGGCCAGGAGTCCCATGAAGGACCTCGAGCACTCTCTGCCATGCACTGGGACCTCCCTAAGAATCCAGTGGAAGAGGGTCCCATGAGGAAGAAAGACCGGCCCAAGTTCTGCAATGCCAGGGGAACCAGTCTCCTGACCACGTCTCGGCAGCCAGGGAAGAGTGCTCCTCATGGGAACAGCTCAAGGACCCCTCGGAGACTGTTAAGGAAGAGTCTGGTATCATCCCACTGACATCCGGCTATTAAAATCTCATCCAAGTCACTCGATGCCCAGCGTTAGGCCCCACTTCCTGCTCCAAGATGCTCGCTCTGGCTGTGCTTTGGAGAGCTGGGTTTGATTTGGACACTGAGCAAAACTCCTTGGAGCAGCTCACTGTCCCTCCAGAGCTATGGTCAAACGCTCCTTTCCATTACAGAATTAAAGCCTCCGAGGCAATGGGGGGACCAGGTGCATCTTGGAGGTGAGCCAGTCCCTGGAGGCATTGAGACTCACTCAGCACCCGAACAGTGGTCAGTGAGAAGAGGCACAGAGTCATCAGCTCTGTAGGCCTGTCCAGCACATGGGCCTCACATGTCCATCAGCTCCACAGCAAACATTTCCACTGGGGTCATCAGGGAAGCATATTGGACTCGGTCCAAACCACCCGGCCTAGTGTCCACTGTGTAGGAAGCAACAGTTGAGCACTCAGGCAGTCCTGCCCTATTGGGGGCCTTCGCAGGCTCGCTATGAAAGGCCCAGAGGAGGTGTGCCCAGCGCCCTGCCTGAGTGAGCTTCCGTACCTGGGTGTTTGCACAGATGTTGCTTTTTAACTGGTTGCTTGCAGGAAAGTAGAACAAGGGCATGGGAGCAGGGTTTCTAAAGTCCCACACCATGCCACAGAGGCCAAGTGTACCACTGAAAGCAGCTTTGTTCCTTTACATGGTTCAATGAGCAATGTCTCTGGGCTGCTGTCCCTCCGGCTTACCTCCAGGCAGCCCTGGGCAGGAAGGTCCAGTAGAAACAGAGAGATGGCCCCTCCAGCAGGCTGGAATGGTTCTGAGAATAGAGGCCACTTCCCTGGCCAGGAGCGGCCTCCTCAGAGACCACAGCTCAAGAGAGGTAATCACCATCATCCCCACTGAGGCCGGGGTGGAGGGTGTCTTCTCCCCTGCCACACAGGCCTGCCGGGGATGGCTCCTTCTCCTAGCCCTAGCAATGCAGTGGGTGAGACACGGGCATTATAGCATATGGGCGCTCTGCACAGCACCACCGAGGAAGGAAGGAGCCATGTCCCACCTTTGGAACTCAGTCTCAGAGGCAAGTTTGCAGAGCATTCTGCATGCCTCTCCAAATGAAGGGCGGTGGGTTGGGGTTAGGGAGCCACAGGGAGGGAAGAAAGTAAGCAAATGAGCAGACACCAGTTCAATCTGGCACCTGGTGGGCTGGAATTGCAGATGCCAGTCCTAGGGTCCTGTGGGTGCCAGCATGCTGCCTCTCCCCTCACCCCCTCAGTGAGATGCCAGCATCAGTTGAACTGTCACTGGTGCGTGCAGCCCCTCCTGGCAGGGGCCCTGGCTGGCTGGGAGGAAGTGGCCAGGTGCTGGGCAGAGCAGGTGGTGGAAAGGTCAGGAGTCCTCAGGGCCTGACCTTGGGCTGAGGGTCTAAGCCCACAGGAGAGCAGGACTGAGCCATGAGGTGGGTCTCTTCCTTAGCCTGGGACCCCCCTTCAGGGAGCCTGCCTAGGCCCGCCTATCACCCCATAGCCCTGAGAACAGAGCCCTGATAAGAACAGTGTCTGGCCACTGTGAGTCCCCCCAGGGGCTCTGGGCAGAGCGGGAGCGGTTCGAGGTTGTGCACACATTGCCTGCCTCCACCTCTCCTTTGCCCCTGGCCCACAGTGGTACTGCCCTGATGGCCAGGGGTGTGGAGTCACTGGTGAGGCCGCATACATGTCTTCAAGTGCAGGACACAAGGGGGTGAGCCAGTCCCCAGCCCCAGCCCCAGCTCCCAGGTCAGTCTGGAGGATATTCACTCCTAGGGCCCCTGGCTGAGAGGAGCTCATACGTTGCACGGAGTTCGGGTCTGGGCCCATTTCCTCCTTCTTCCCCTCTCCTGAAGGGAGTGCCCCAAGGAGGCCCCCAGGCTGAGTGGAGGTAGTAGGGGAGGGTCTCGAAACACACAGCCCATCACAGCAGGACGAGCCACTCCCTCCCCAACGGCCCTGACCCACGCGCACCTGGACCACGGGGCGTTCTGGGCCGCGTCCTGGCGCACCTCATCTGGGACCGGCTGCATCGGCTGCAGACGAATGCCGATCCAGATGATGGGGCCCGGCTGAGCCCACGCGGCAGCGCTGCCGCCCAGGGCCACGTGTCAATCCCGCGGTGCTTCCGTCCGGCGCTCCCAGGACGTGTCGCCCCCGGACAGCCACCCCGCAGGCGGGGCGGGGCGCGCCACCGTGGTCCCGGCCCCGCCCGCGGAAGTAGGGGACCTGCTCTCCCTTAACTCCCGCAGGGCCACACCTCCTGGGATCCGCGGGCGCCCACCCGTTAGACCCAGGAAGTGGCCTCGGCATAGCGCCGCCTCCGCAAGGCTTTGGGGGGGGCCGGCCCTCGCGGGTACCCTGGCAACAACACCCTGGCGCTCGTACACTCTGGACACTGAGCCTGGTCAAGCACCTGTCAAACGGGGGCAGTGTCAGATCCGACCCGTGGTCCGCACCTATGGGGGAGGGAAGAAACACATAGGAGCCCTGTGGCGCAGTGGTAAAGCATTGGGCTGCTAACTGAAAGGTCAGCGGTTCTGCCCCAGCTGTGCCAGTTGGCTTTTGTAAAGATTTATAACCTTGGAAACTCTATGGGGTGGTTCTACTCTGCCCTGTGGGGGTCACTATGATTCAGAATCACCTCAACAGCAGTGGGTTTTGGGGGTGCCTTGCCCCCCACCTATGAAGTGTGGGCGGGCAACAGCTGTCACACATTGCTGGGCTGTGCAGACTGGATTGAACATTAGGGAGGAGGGTTTAACAGTGTGAAGAATAGTCCCATCTTCCAGGCTGCCCACTCCTGATCTGTAAGGGGATCGGGGCCCACCCACCTGGCCTACGTCCAAGTGGCAGAGTTCATGGACACAGGCCCAGCTCCAGAACTGGCATCCGGGCGTCACTGCAAAAGTGGTGGCTCCCCTCCCCCCACTGCTGGGATCTCCTAGGTACCTTCTAGCGTTTTACTTTTCTACACGGAGTGCTGCGGGCAGGTGGGCCGTAAACAAAAGGAAGAACATGCAAGCGGCCAGGCAGGGTGCCCCACGGGGAGATACTTGGGTGGGATTGGCATGAAATGATGGGACAAACCAAGTAGGTGGTTTTAGCTTTTTGTTGGGGGTGAGGGGTGAGCAGCAGCTACAAGTGTAATGGCCCGGAGGTGCCCAGGATGAAGACTGGGAGAGGTGGGAGGTGAGGTCAGAGCCTTGGGCTAGTGAAGACCAGCTGAGCTCCAAGTAGGGAAGCCCTTACACAGGACCACCTGGCTGCTGTGTAGACCACAGTGTCGGGGAGGAGAGACCACTGCAGTTAGGTAGGCCCAAGAAGCAAGGGGGCTTGGTGGGGTGGGAAGGAGCAGTGCGGATGGATCCTCAAATGTAGCAGAGGGGCGTGTGTGGCAGCCAGGTGCGCAGGAAGGCCAGTAGGGAGGAGCAGTGCTGGCTGTGCCCCTGGTCAGACCTGGGACACCCATGGCATCCTGCAGGAGGAAAGGGGCTACGAACCTCTGCAATGCAGCCAGGTGGAGTGCTTCCTGGTGGGCAACGGCTCAGGGCCATGGTGTCTCCATTCCTCCCCGGTACTGACCACACACACGCCCCCCTGAGCAGTCACGTGACACAGGTCTGATGAAGAGCTTGTGTCATAAGGTTAATGCTCCAGGGACACAGGACAGAGTCCAAAGGGCAGCGTGAGCAAGATGCACTGGTCATTTGTTTGGGTGAGAGCAGGTGTCGATGAGTCTATAGGCCCCTCTTGGACGGAGAGCTTGGACATCCAGTGGGAACTCAAAGTCCTGTGCCAAACTACAGCACCACATCCTTGGTAGCATCAAATTCACATATATACACACACAACCTGTCAGAGCATCATGTTCCTGACACACCATGCTCACATACATGTACATGTACACACACAGCCAGCCAGAGTACGGCCCTGATGCACGCACTACACACACACACACAATTACATACATGTCGTGTCTACACAATCCTGTCATAGCACATCCCTGATATACTGATCACACACTACATACATGCACACGCACACACGAGAGCATCATGTCCCATACACATCACACGTATATACTACACACATTCCCCGGTACACACACACGTCCCTGATATACATCACACACACTACATGCATGCATAGGTACACACACAACAGAGCACCATGCCCCTGATATACTACACACACACACACACACACACGACAGAGCACTGTCCGATTTATACCACTCACACACTACATACACACACAACAGAGCACCACGTCCCTGACATCACTCACATACTACATATACACACACATGTACACACATACAACAGAACATCACATCCCCTGATGAACATCACACAAAGTAACATACATGTACACACACACACAACTTGTCAGAGCACCACATCTGGTATACATCACATTAATGCACACATGGAAATGAAGAACACCTTCAACCTGCAATTGCACGAATATTACCTTTTAGCCATAAATCCCCTTTTCACGAGGCAGGGTGCTCTCCGAGTTTCTCTGTCCAGGGTTTTATGACACAAGATTATACAGGGGTTTCAAAGTTTGTGGAGAAATTCCATTAGCTTTCACTCCATTTTCCCACGAACTTTTTGAAGCCCCCTCGTGTTTATCACCAGACCACTGATCAGCAACCTGTAAAGGCAGAATGGGCCAGATGCTTCCCACAGGAGCACAGGCTTGGAACTGCCAACACTAGCTATGCCAACAGCCCACTCACACCAGTATCCCACTTTATACAAGTCCAGTACCGCCAAGGGAAAACCAAGGTGACATTCCAAAATTAAGGCCCAGCATCTGAGACCAGCAGGCTTGACATGGCTGGGGCAGGCTCCTTCTGGGCAGGCGGTGGGGTGTCCCCAGAGCCCCAGTGAGGCACAGGCTGTCCTTCCTCTCGGACAAAATGCACACACCCTTTCAGGCCCACACCTCATCAGCATGGTATAAGCAATGGACAAGTCCAGAGGGTCCCCCAGTTTCCTTTTACACGTTAGGTGTTCGTGTCTCTGAGAATGTGGAAAGCAGTCTAAGGAATCTCCAACATGGGCTTAGACAACTGGGTGAGAAGGCAGATGCGGGGCCCGGGGGTGCGGTGGTATCAAGGTAGTCCGTTCTCTTGTGATAGGTTTGGAAATTCCCATACGGAAAGGCAAAAATAAAAGACTTATGTTATCCCAATGCAGCTGAAAATCCCACAGTGGGCAGAACAAAGGTTCTGACTTACCACCTTTACAAAAGACTGATCCGTGACATTTGAGTGCCCCACCCATGGAGAAGGTGCTGCTATGAAACGCTGTTTAGAGACAGACAGACACCAAAGAGTAAGTTACACAAAACTCAAATTTCCTTCTTAAATAACTGAAATAGACCAATTTTCAATTACAATTGTATAGCATTTAATTCTAATTAAAATATCTTTATGGAAGTAAAAACAAAACAAAACTGAGCTTTCAGATGATCCTTCGGTGAAAAATGTGGAAACTTACTACCAAGTTAACGACAGACAGCAGAGACTGCACTTGGGTGGAAAAGCTATGGAGCGAGGGGCGGGGCCAGGAGTTGAATGACAGGATCAGTGGGCACAATTCAAGGGAGTGGACTCTACTTCCACACAGCGCTCACCACGGACACAGAGCGTATAGCTTATTGTGCTTGTTTGTGAAACAAAAATACAGCCGTTGTCAAACAACACATCCACGTGGTGTCCTGATGGTGCCATGAGGCCCAGAGTCTGGGCTCTACCACTGGGGTCATATGCACGTGGAGTCCACTGTGCACAGACAGCGGTCTTCAACGGAGCTGCGGTTCTTCACGCACAAGACTTGGTCAGACAACCTGAAAGGAATCCTGGTCCGTTTTTGGCAAGGACTTTTGTTTTTAACATAAAATGTGTCAGATTCTGAAGTCCCTAGATTCTCCCTCCAAGATGAGCAGTATACAAACATCAGAAGAGAAAGATATCACATCTCCTCCCAAACACTGCCCTTTGAACATGCCATCTACTGGGTTCAGCGCAGGGATGGCGGGCTGAAGTGAAGTCCACAGCGCCACCATTCCACCGCCAAGCACGATGGCAAACACTAGTCCCGAGAAAAGCTTGTCCTTTCTAAAACCCAGAACCCTCAGTTCAAGTGACAAAGTACATGAGTTCCCACTTGCTGCACAAGTTCCCAGTGTTTCAGAAAGATTCCACAGAAGGGGTACCCCTCACAAGGTCGTGATATCAGGCTCAGGAGCCCCAAAATAGTCTCAAATTGCATTTATCTCAAGGCACGTTCTGAGAGAAAGTGGAGAGAGAGAGAACGCACCTCTGTAAAACATAACTAGGGTTTAAGGAACTCAACGGTGGGAGTCTTGGACAAAGCAGGGAGATCTAACTATACCTAACTCACCTTCTCTAAGGCTCACCTTCATTTGCTGAACAAGGGAGAGAGGAAAAGAAAGACTGGAAAAGGTGGCTGGCCCTGGAAAGAAGTCCACTCACAGATGGGAGGGAGGGAACTCTACCCTCTAAACCAAGTTAAAGTTGCAAGGGTAGCACTCAAGGGGACTAACTGAAGTGTTTCTCGAACATCCAGCTCATGGTGGTTTTCAGCATTGCTCTATGAAGCTACTTACGACAGGACTTATAAATAAAATACCAACATCTGCCTTATAACCTGGTAACCTTTCATGCACTTGGACAAACCCACTAGTATACTGCTAGCCGGTTTGGGGATTGTTCCAGGGTACCAGATTTCACACTACCGTATATCTCATACTTTCTGATTTAAAAAGTATTATCACATTGAATATATATTAATTATGCATACAATCTTAAGGAGCTCTGGTAGTATAGTGGTTATGAGACGGGCTGCTAACCCTAAGGTCAGCAGTTCGAAACAACCAGCCGTTTCACGGGAGACAGATGAGGCATTTTGCTCCCGGAAAGATTTATAGCCTCAGAAATCCTAAACAGGGTCCTTATGAGTCAACTCCACGGCCCACCACCACCACGCATCCAATGTTAACACACATGAATAAAGACGATCAGGCCTATGCTAAACTACCTGGTGCTTCCTTTCAAACACAGGTTCCTGTGTCTCCTAGCATTTGCCTGCTATCGTCTGCTGTATTTGACCTATTAATTATAGGAGATTCAACGTACTTCTCAAGCATATTTAATCCTCCAACCTCAGAAGACAGAGCCCCAGGAAGATCACATCTGAGGAGAGTGGCAGCGACAGTGAAACTCACCCTTCTAGGACTGAGGTCAGGGAACAGTGCCCTTGCATTTGGCTGCAGAATACCTTGAGGTGTCGCACTCATTCTGGAGGCTAGGGCATTCTAGAGTGACCCCGAGTCTCACCTTTGTACTTGTTACTACATTTAAAACCATACGTCTAACACTAACACTACCCAGAGTCCTGTCCAACTGAGAACGGTAGCAAAGCATCAGCAGACCCTGGAGGTGCAGGGACCAGATGGTGCTCAAACAGCCGATGGAAGACATGAAGTCTCACTAAGGTCAGAGCCCGTCGTGCACTCGTCCCCTCTGCACTAGCAAGCTGCCAGTCCTGGTCCCCAAGTTAACTGCTGTTTCTCTGGAATCAGGACGTCTGCCAGAGTGTGAACAGTCAGCTGGGGCTGGGGTCACAGCACCTGCCGGAGCCAGCTTCCAGATTCCCTGCCGTGAGCCCCATGTGTAGTGGTGCCCCTCGCAGAGCCTCTCTGACCTCCCCCGAATAGGGTAGGCATGGGGGTGATGGGTAGGGACCCGACAGTGAGACAGATGGGCACTGCCACAGTGACTCCCCGAAGACTGACCAAGGCCCCTCCCAGCAGCCTCACACCCAGGCTCCGTCAGACGGCAGTCTCCATGAGCGTGAGGTGGCCTCGCCTTATGCATGCTGCTGCATCACCATGGGGCACAGCAGGTTAGTGTGAGGAGAGTAAGGGTCCTAAGAGGCCGTTGTCGTCATTCTCGAAATCAGAGCAGCCTTTATTTGCAGCAACACTGCCTTGGGAAGTCGGGCTGGGCCCACTAGGAGACTGGCTCTCACACACAGCACCAAAGTACACGTTACAAATAAAACCACACAATCCACCCTGCACACATTCACGTCTCCCCAGAATCCACACAATCCAGAGCCAACAGGGAAGAAAAGCAAACTTCTGTCCCTCACACACAAGAAGTCTCCAAATCAGGATTTACAAATTTATAGTTTCTGTCCTATGAAAAAACAAACAAACAAAAAACAGAGGGGTCAGGAAGCACGTTGAGGTGAAAGCCCGCCAAGCCTCAGGGAGTTCAGAGAACACACGTCTGTCTCTAACCTCAGACTCCTACTTCCTCCTCATTCTCCTGAGTGGAGGTCAGCAGAGACTGGTGTCCCTGAGGACACAGCACTGAGCACCACGAGTCCTTCAGCAGCTGACCCTGGGAGACAGTCCAGTCTTTCACTTCACGTTCTCCAGCACTTTCAGGTAAAGGGCTGTTTTCCATTAAGAAAGACGCCGATTCGATAAACAAGAGCAAAAGGAGAAAAGGAGTTCTCGGCTGCAATCACCACATCCGGGCCACCGTAGGCAGCCGCGTAGTCCTGGGTGGAGGCGGAGGTGCTCGCTGCTCCATCACAAGCTCTACTTGGGCTCTTCGATCACACCCTTGCTGAGGTCTGTCATTTTAGGGTATTTTACTTTCTTCTGGTCCAGCTCATTCTGAGCCCAAAGTAGGAGTTTCAGTAATTTTGCCAACTTGGGTGTTGACTCACGGTTTTCGTAATCTAGGACAGCCTGGTTAACTTCACTCCACACCTGGAAAACAAGTGCATTCAGTGAAGACAGCTGCATAGATAAAGAACCCGCGATACAGCAGACTGTGCATAAATGCATCTCTATGCACACTGGAAAGCCTCCCAAGTGGCAGCGTGTTATCAAACACACCCTAGGAGCCGACTATAGGGTGTGGGGACATCTGGCACAGTTCTGTCAGGAGCTGACATCCCCAAACCACCTCACAACAGTAACCAAGGAGCCCCACAAGCCCAAGAGCACATCTGAGGTGACCTTCTTGTGAGACCCAGTGTTTCTGATCAGGTGGGAGAGGCGGGTGACGGGAGGACACGGGCATACTTGAAGTGATGAGCTAGGACACAGTATGGATACTAAGGAGTATGAGACTTGAAATGAAAGCTACTAGAACATCTGTTTCTGAGCACGACTCCGAACAGGAAGAAATGGCAAAGTGGTTTGTGAGCCGCATGACAAGACTCAAGAATCTTTGTCCATGTCGGAACCACAGGCGTGACCCAACACTTACAACAAAGCCCCCCAGCCCTGCCAGTCTTGGATGAAGCAGCCAAAGACTGAAACCGCCTTACCAAGAAACCATGGACCTAGAAAGGTGCCTGCCTTACATTCCCCACAAGTTAACAGACACCCCCTGGTCTCCCCTCACCTTCTGCCGCTGCATCATGTTGAGAAGGTCTCCGAAGGGTGACTCCTCTGGGCTGTCAAAGGCCAGCAGGGCCAGTGTCCGCTCCATCTCTGTCAGGCACTCCCGGCTCTCCTCACCCTGCTCAGCCAGCTGCGTCTGCGCAAACTCCAGCGCCGCCTCTGTCTCCCGCTGTCGGATCAGCTCAATCAGATGCTGCTGCTGCTCGGGGACAAAGACAGAGGCTGAGGTGGTGTGCACCGGGCTAGCCCAGACCTGTGGGCTCCTTTCTAGCCCCAAGCACACCTCAGAGTGACGACATGTGCATTTTAAAACAAGAAATGGTTTCTGAAATCCATGATGAACTGCAAACTCAAGCCCCCTCCCCACAAAAATGCCACCACTACACTGCTAGTCAAGGAGCTCTGGTAGCGTAGTGGTTATGAATCGGGTTGCGAACCTCAAGGCCAGCAGTTCGAAACTATCAGCTGCTCCGCAGGAGAAAGATGAGGCTTTCTGCTCCTGTAAAGATTTACAGCCTCGGAAACCCTGTACAGGGTCGCTATGGGTCGGAACCAACTCCACGGCACATAACAACAACAACAACAACAACACTACTGGTCAGATTAGAGTTCTTACAGGTAACTACGTATCGATTCTCAGCACACCGGGCAACGCTCACCTGCAGATGGAAGTACAGGTACCGGTTCGTGTCCAGGAGCTCTGGATGGAGGCTGTTGATGAGCGCAATGGCCTCCTGTATCTGCCCTTTCAGTATCATCTCGCGGATTTTGATACGTTCATCAAGTGTTTCGAGATCCACACTAGGCTCAATCCCAGACTCCATTCGGAACTTCTCTGCAGCTTCTTTAAAACCCTCTGACAACAGAAAAAACCTTCACTGCTGGAAATGTCAGCAGGAAACCAACTTAAAGATGTTTTATTCCTGAAAGACTCCCAGCGGAAGAGACCTTTCTGGGGATTTGGCAGCAATACCTCTGTAATTTATTTACTACTTGTGAAACAGGCAGTGAGGAGAGCACAAGCCATCCCCATCTACCCAACCACAGGCACACCAGACTGTGCACATGCTCGGAAACTGTGGGGCTGGTTCCTGGCATTTCAGACAGACCAGTTGAGCCACTGAACTGCCCGGGGACCTGCAGTGCCCACTTTGCCTGCAGTGACCTGTCCTAGTGAGTCCACAGTTCAGCATCAAAGCCAGACTAGGACCACCACTCTCCACATAGATGGCCACAGATCTGCATTTCCAATCACCTTCCAGGTAAGTTTAAACCAAGGTTACTCTGGGGGAGAACAACAGGGGACTAAGAGAAGGGAGACAACTTTTGTTTAACACCTTTTGAAAGTATCTGGGCTTTCTTACCACATAAATAGATACACACTCCCTCCCCCGGTGCAGCCCAACCACGACACACAGGTAATCACCCTTTTTCCACCCAAACATCAGTGGGGACTGTCTGAGCCTTGGGACAATAGACCACTTTTATATGCTTTTGAGATTTTAGCAAACTTCGGAGCGTTCTCAATTCCCCTAAGTACCTGTGAAGCCACCTAAGGCCAAGAGGCAACAGGCAAGTTTGTTCCTCAGGCCTCAGAAGCCTGACCTCTCTCCGAAGCTTCCTTAACAGAAGCATTTGTATACACGTATGCAGTGCTCAGCGTCCATGCCATGTTTTGTGATAAAGGATGTCACATGATTTGGGTACGCTGTCATAACAACATTGAAATCTTATGGGCCTGCTTCCAGAAGTGTGGTGGCAGAAGTGGAGTAAGAAAGCGAGCAGGAAGAGGGCAGAGTGTGCCCTGCTTGTTGTGACCGCCTGAGAAAAGGGAGCAGCCAGGCCCCACCACCACCGCCTGCCAGCTGGACAGAGCCATGTCCTCGGCCTAGCTCCTACCCCTCCCAGTGTTGCAGAGTCAGTTACACAAACAAAAGCCCACCGCCAGAGTCAATTCCAATCCATAGTGACCCTACCGGGCGGGCAGATCTGCCCCCCAGGGTCTCCACGGCTGTCAGCTTTACAAAAGCATGTCTTTCTGGACCGGAACCACTAGCCTCCTCTCAGTGAGCAGCACTTTACCCGCAGTGCCATTAGGGATCCTAGTCACGACCCCTGGGGGAATAATCTGTAACAAGCAGATTTCAGGAGCCCACAGAACTGGATGTGCTCGGGCCCTGTCCAGCTGCACGGTACGTGACACCTGCCTGTGTGTATAGGAGGGGAATGCTCCTGGTTACCTGTGACGAGGTAGTTCATGATGAGCCGATTCATGTCTGCTCGCTGAATATGTAAGTTATTGAGTTTTTCCAGCCACTCATCTTTCGTGATTTCATCAGGCTTCTCTGTGTAACTCATTCTGATTTATTTCTATAAAGAAAAAAACACGTATCTTAAGGAAGTGGTGAAGAAGTCTGGCCATCATGGTCACTGCAGAAAAACACAACCACGTGATCAAGAGGGACTTTCACGCTGGAGAGCAAGCAGCAGCTCAGGGTCTCTAGAAAGCAGCATACTAGAAGGTATGCTGGCGTCAGATGGAGTGGGGTCTTCAGGCAGAGAGAGGAATTCAGACTGTTGTGTGTGTTAAGTGTGGCCACCGGGGAGTTCTAACAAAGTGCCAATCGTGCACCCACTAGTCTGACAGAGCCACGGAGTCTGACAAGACCCAAAAGAGCTCAGGACGCGGAGGTCGGGACGCAGAGACTCCCTACTGCTATGTGAGCAGACTGGTACCGTGGAAGTCATGTGTGCTCCTTGATGCCTGTACATGCAGAGTCACCTCTGATTCATGGCACTTAGTAACCTAAGAGAAGGCAGTCCTGCCTGGTCCTGCACCTCCTCACCATCGCCGCTCTGCCCGAGTGCCATCCAGCCTAGGGGCTCAACCTCCAGCCCTGTGCTAGGCAGTGCTATGCCGTGCACCCCTAGGCTTTTACTGGTTCATTTTCATAAGTACATCTCCAGGTTTTTCTTCCTAATCTGTCTCACTCTGGAAGCTCCTATGAAATGTGTCCACCACGGGTGAACCTGCTGGTATTTGAAATACAGGTTGGACAGCTTTCAGCATCCCAGCAACATACAAGCCACCAGAGCACAACAAACTGACAAGTGATGAGAGGGTACACTCATCAAACCCAACAAGTCAACTTCTGCTAGACGTCGTGGTGGTGATGATGTGCCGTGGAGTCAGTTCCGACTCACAGCGACCCTGTACAGGGGTTCCGAGGCTGTCAATCTTTACAGGAGCAGAAAGCCTCATCTTTCTCCTGCAGAACAGCTGGTAGTTTCGAACTGCTGACCCTGAGGTTTGCAGTCCGATTCGTAACCACTACGCTACTGCTATATGTACATCCCCTAAAAAAATCAACAAATGTGCACCAGGGAACATAGACAAGCCTGCCCATAGAAGTACTGTCCAAAATACCAAAAACGTGCAAGGTGGAAGGCACTAGTGTTCATTCAACAGTAGTGTGGACAAATGGACTGGGCATACAGAACCCCAACCCCATGTTCAAAGCCACTGGTCAATGTGTTCTGGAATACAGATTTTACCACATCACATTCTCACTAGGGTCTGAGGCAGAACCTCATAATCCAACATTATTTCCTCAGTGGAATGTATAAGTAAGTACTCCTGTAAAAGGGAAAAAACGCTATTAAACAGGCTTACCCAGGCACGGTTCTACTCCCAAATGGATGAAAAACAAAGAACACAGGTGTCCCGTTTTCAGAGCAATCTAGATCTGAGGAGGTTGCTCATAGAAGAGAATTTAACAGCGGCTATGACTCCAAGGTGGTGCAATGGTTACGAATCAGGCTGTGAACCTCAAGGTCAGCAGTTCGAAACTACCAGCTGTTCTGCAGGAGAAAGATTAGGCTTTCTGCTCCCGTAAAGATTTAAGCCTCGGAAACCCTGTACAGGGTCACTATGGGTCGGAATCGACTCAACAGCACTTAACAACAATGACGAGTCCACGGCACATAACCACCAACCACCACAAGGAGCTCACACGATCACAAAGATGACTCTCGGGAACCATACTGATGAAAAAGCAAGTTGCAGAGACCCAAGTGTGGCATTACATGTTTGTAACACCAGAGGCAAAGGAAACACTATGTACATTAAAAACGAAACGCATTTGTGGCAAAACCATGTTTAAAGGAAGAGCATGAAATAGACGACTCAGGGGGGTGTTGATGGGGGTGGGGGAAGGTGGTCTGGCTGTGTCTCCTAGGATGGGTGGGGTGATGGTGGTGGTGATGGGGGTGTTGATGGGGGTGGGGGAAGGTGGTCTGGCTGTGTCTCCTAGGATGGGTGGGAAGTGCACAACCATCCACTTTATTTTTAGACTCTGTAACTTACTTCCACTCCTTGGATGCTACTCTGCACACAAAAGCTCAGAGGTGAAGGAGGGCTCTGGTTTTCTGGCCAACAATGGAAGGGGTATGGGGTGCAGGGTGACGACTGCTGAACAGGAAGAGCAGTAGGAGGGGAAGATGGCCACATGGACTAGGCTAGCAGAAGAGAGGGAAGGACAGGTCACATCCTGATTCTCCACACACTAAGCCAGGGGACTCGCTGACAGCCTGCGGGTCAGGTGAAGGAAGGGAAAGGTCCAGGAAGACGGAAGGTGTCAGGACTGGGGACCTTGGAATACAGAGGGCAGACTGGGAGTGGAACAGGTTTGAGTAGTAAGGCAAGTTTGGGGAGACCATTAGACAAGCAGGCAAGGAAGTCCCTTGCTGACCACAAGCTCAGTGCTGAATAGTTTATTAAGGAGACCTGTGAACAGCAACGATCTTTCAAGTCGATGCTTTGGCAACCATCACCAGGGAGAAAGTGTAAGAGAGGGCAGTGGAAGGGGCACAAAAGGAAGTCCTCAGTGTCCTCAGTCCTCGGAGGAGGCTCCAGGCGAGTGTGAAAGGTGGTGAAGCCAAGCTTTGCGCACGCGCACGCACACGCACACAGCCTGGCTCTTGTAGCTGCATGTCAACAGCCTCCCTCGCTAAGATGAACTTTCTATGTGGAGACAACGAAAAGCATCCAAAAGATCAACGGGCGTCCTGGTGGCGCCAGGTGTTAGGCGCTGGGCTGCTAGGAGGGAGAAGGACGAGGCGGTCCTGTACACTAAGTCGGAGCAGCTCCGCTCTGTCCCAAAGGGTCAAAGTGAGTCCCAACTCCCTCCAGGACAGTGGGGTCTTTGAGGTGGGTGGTGCGGCGGGACGGGCCAATAGGAAAAGCCCCCTAGCAAAGGCTCGATCCTCAGTGTGCGAATGGCTATCCGCAGCCCCCCAGTCCCACCCTCCACCCAAAGAGGTCAGCCACGGCGTCCCCTAAACACCGAGGGCCACGACCACCTGCTCCCCAGCCAAAGGCAGGGCTGGGCCGGCAGAAACCTTCTCCGGGGCTCCCAACACGGCTGTCATCCTGAACCGCAGCGCCCTCGCTGACGTTTTAGGAGGGCACGCCCAAGGTTAGGTGTGCCTACGCTGCTTCGGGCCGGATGATAAAAACAAAAACAGGGCCAACGAGGGAACCTGCCCGCCACGGGTGACCCTACCGGTGGGGGAAATGCCGGTGACACACCTTCCAACGTCACAGCAAGGCGAGGGAACACACAAGTTCACCTGCGAAGAACGCGGCCCCTTCGCGGGCCTCGGTCCCGCAACACACCCACGCGACAACGATTTGGGGACCGGCCGGCCAGGCTACAGGCCCCTGGCCGCCCCGCACTCTCGGCGGCGCTTGGCCGCCGACGCCATCTTACCGTGGGACCCGCCTCCCGCGTTGCGCGGTTTCGGCGGCGGCTCCGCGGTCGTGCTAGGGTCTGGGGCCGTGCTGGGGAGGGGGCGACAGCGGTAGCTGAGGACACGGAGGCGGCGGCCGCAGCGAGCAGGGGCGGGGGCGGAGAGCAGGAGACCACACACCGGCTGCCGCCCCCTCAGCCTCCTCTCGCGAGATAGCGAGCCGGCATCCAATGGCGTGTTCCCGCGAGGGGGCGGGGCGGGGCGCGGCGCGGCGGCCGTCCGGAAGCACAAACGCAAGTTCCGTCCTTGCGCAGAACTCGCCTAGAGCGGCGCCCCCTTTTCTACGGGTTGGCGCGAGAGTCAAAACGTATCGGCCGCAGCTGGTTTGGGGTGGGAAATGGCCGACGCTGCGGCGTTGTGGTGCGGAAACTTCGCTCAGGGATGGCGACGTCTAGACTGAGTTGGAAGCAAAGGTCCCGGCGACCTTCCCCGTCGTTTGTGTGAGGCCTGGGGAATGGGGCAGGGGCGGGAGAAACGTTGCCCGGTGCTCCAAGGTCGACCTGCAGACGGAGTCGCCTCCCGACGGCCCGTTTCCCAGGCGCTTGCCTTTCCAAGGCCGGAGGGCAGAGCCGTTAGGTCAGGCCGAGCCTGGGGTCCCCGGAGGCTGTTGAGTGTAATTCCGTGAGTGTCGTTGAGCATGAACTCTCTGGAGGCCAGATGGGTGGACGAAGGGGGATCGTCCTGCCCGTCCCACAAACGGTCGTTGGGCCGCCTGCGCCGAGGACAGGGCCAGGCCGGCTCGATGCGTGACCGCGGGGCGGGGACTCCAGGACTGCCCCTGCTGGCGCAGCCCGGGCCCTTGTTGAACAAGGACTGCGGCCGCGTGTTGATGTGCTCATTTTATTTTTGGCCGCTCAAGAATGCCCCCTCCGCCAGACTTCCGGTGGCTGGAGAGTCCAGTTAAAAGACTTGGGAGCGCTGCGGGAAGAGCTGTTAGACGAGCTGGGGGCCGGCGCGTTGTTTCGTGCGCTGAGAATCATGGCCCAGGTTTCTGATCACGAGCAGGAGTGAGCGGGTTTCGTGTGGCTTCAGCATTAAACCTTCAGCATGGGATGCCCGCTGAAGCGATCGCAGGGACACAGCTCAGGGATACAACCCGTTACAAGCCTGTTTTCAAGATTATATTGGCAATTTTCTGGTGTCTTTGTGGCGCAGTAGTTAACCCGTTCAGCTGCTAACTTAAAAGATCGACGGCAGCTGCTCCATGGGAGAGAAAGATGAAGCAGTTTGCTTCCATCAGAATGACGTCTTGGAAACCCTACGAGGCAGTGTTGCTCTGTATCGGTTGTTGTTGTTGTTGTTAGGTGCCATCGAGTCGGTACCGACTCAAGCGACCGGTATGCACAGCAGAACGAAACACTGGCCGATCCTGAGTCAACCTCACGTACTGTTGCCACGCCTGCTCCATCGATGCTGCTACTTGGCCCATCCATCTCGTTGGGGGGCACTATAAAGCGGCATGGGCTCAGTGGCGGTGGATTTGGGATTTCTTGGCAGAATAAAATTGGATTTGCAACTTAAGTCTGTGGTATCTGTGGAAATGCTAAGCTTCCAAGAAATAGGAAGTTGGGGAGATTCCTCTGAACTTAGTTAATAACTTGATCCTTGCTTGGAGTAGACATCTTAGGCGTCCGGTTTTTTCAAAGCGCCCAATGACACGTTACTTGAAATGAATTCTGAAAGAACAAGGCAGGAGGGGAGTACTTTAACAGGGAAAATGACAGCTTTTCTTTTTAATTTGCATTTGTCTTAATGTCCCCATAAGGATGAGACCATTGTGCTAATAATGTTCCTCCCAGAAGGCCTACCTGCTCCTCTCTGATTCCCACAGGTGAGCTCTCCAAATGACAGGACATCAGTGCCTAAGTTCTCTAAAAGCCCTTCCTTAAACCCCCTAGGGGCTCCCCCATTGCCCAAGCAACTCACAGCGGCAAAGGTGGCTCCCCTGAAAGCCTCAGCACTCCCCTCTCTCCTATGGGCTCAACTTCCGCCCAGGGACCCACCTGTTTGAGGTTCTCCCGAGTCACCAAACCCTGCTGTTTGGTTCTTGCAAACCAAACCCTCTGGGTCAAACGCATCCCTCTTCACCTTCACCAAAATGTGGCTTTCTTGGGCAAGGCTTCTCTAACCGAGCTTGATGCTCGCTCATCTGGGATCCTAAACTCACGGATGCTGGAGTGGGTGGAGCCAATGTCCTCAAACCACACTCTTCAGTAGTACAGGGAGGGGACCTGCTTGTGCTGAAGTAGGAAGGAGTCCAGGGGGTGGCAGTAGGTGAGAAACGAGCCAGGAGCTGTGCATGGTGATTGACAGTTTGTGGGAACTGGGGGGCAGGAGAACCCTGAGGAGTGGGGCTGCCTGTGGTCATGTCTGAAGCTAAGGCAGAGTGGGACTGGACTGGAGTTCTTTGTGGTGCCATGAGTGAGTGGATACGTGTATTCAGGGAGAAGGAGGACGTAGAGGGAGAGTGGATTGGGCGGGAATCCAGGAGAACCGGCATGTAGTCATGAATGAGGTGACAGTGAGTAGTAAGGCGACACAGGTGGCCAGAACTGCTGTTCTGCTTCACCTTCTGTACTCGAGGGTTTGCTAGTGCGTACTGGGCAGGCCTGGGGGCGGGGGAGGGTCATTTCTACTTTTTTGAGGTTTTGAGGTGCATTTGAGGCTGCCAGACAGAGAAGTCAGGGAGGCTGTGGATTGGATGGAGAGGTGAGTCCAGTGAAGGCCATTAGTGGAGAGGCTATTGGGCTGCACTTCCCATGGAACTGAATGCATCCGGGTCCTTGCCCTGCCTTGTTAGCTGATTGAAACTGGAAAGTGGGGTTATTGTCTGTGGACAAGGAGCAAGCTGCTCAAGTTACCTGAAAACTACAACTCCCAGACAAAAGGGATGGAAGAGTTCTTAGGGGCCCTTGTTCCAGGTGTAGGGGGAGTTCCTCTCCCCTGCCTGAATTAGATGATCTGTTACCAAGTCATTCTGGGCAGGACATCCCCATGAACAAGACCCCTTGCTTTTGAAATGGTTCTGGGTATGTGGTTATATCATAAAACCTGGTGAATTATCATTCCAAAATTATCTAAGGGTCAACGTTGCCTTGTCTGCGCAAACTTAGAGGCCCAGCTAGAACTGGTTCTAGATGAGGTAGTTCTGTCCTGGTAGCTCCCGAGAAGGTTAATACCCACAAGATCCGCCAGTTCCTAGGTAGGGCCTGTCCTGGTATAATACAAAGACACCAACATGTGGCATGCTGGGCAGAGAGCTAGGACCATGGATTTGGAGAGAAGTTCATGGATACAGGAACAAGGGAGGCTGCAGGGCCACATGGGTCACCAGCAGGGACAGTGACCAAGGTGACCAAGATTCCAGTCATGCTGAGAGCTGGGTGGCTGGCTGGAGAGGGAATCCATAAGGCCTGGCCTCTTTGAGCAGTCAGGAAGCAGCCACATGGCCAGAGCTGGGCCATTCTTCAGCTAAGGTGTTAGCTTTGAACTTGAGAAGTTTGTTTGTTAAATGAGAGGTGATAGTTCTTGTTGGGCATCTTCAAGTCCAGTTTTGACTCATGAGCTGCCCCCTAGGGTTTCCTCGGCAGTAATCTTTACGGAGTCCTGGTGTCCTGGTCTGGTACCATAGGATAAGCACGGAACCAGAAGGTCAGCTGTTGAAACTCACGAGCTGCTCCTGAGTCAGAACCAACTCAGCATCACTTAACAACAGCAACAAGCTTTATGGGAGCAGATCATCAGGTCCTCCATGGACCCACTGGTGGGTTCAAACCAGCAATCTTTTGGTTAACATCTGAACACTTAACTGTTGAACCACCAGGGCACCTCAAAAAGGGATTGGTGCTGTGCTGTGGAGCCTGTTCCGACTCATACTGACCCTGTACAGGGACCTCAAGGAGCGGCTGGGGTGCTTGAACCACCAACCTTGTGGTTTACTGTCGAGTGCTTATCCTACAGTGCCACACCAGGAGCCCCACAAAAAGGGGGTTGTTGATAAGTGCTGTCGAGTCTGTTCCCATTCATAGCAACCCTGTTTATGGTTTCCGAAGCTGTATCTTTTCAGGAGCAGAAAGCTTCATCTTTCTTCCACCTAGTGGTTAGTGGGCTCGAACTGCTGACCTTGTGGTTGACAGTCCAGAGCTTATCCTACAGAGCTATCAAAATAAGATTGTTGTTAAGTGCTGTCAAGTTAGTTCAGACTAATAGCAACCCTGCATAGGGTTTCTGAGGAGCAGCTGGTCGGTTTGAAATGCCGACCTCATGGTTCAAAGTCCAGTGCTGATCCTACAGTGCCCCACCAGAAGTCCAAAATAAGAGTTGTTGTTGTTGTCATGCGCCGTGGAGCCGGTTCTGACTCATAGCGACCCTGTACAGGGTTTCCGAGGCTGTCAATCTTTACGGGAGCAGAACGCCTCCTCTTTCTCCCGCAGAACAGCTGGTAGTTTTGAACTGCTGACCTTAACGTTTCGCAGCCCGATTCGTAACCACTATGCTACCAGAGCTCCTTAAGAGTAGCAGTTCTTTAAATAAAAAAAGGTTAGTTTTAAAAGTAAACTAAAGAAATTTGTGAAAGGGAAACATTTGAGAATAAAATAAACAGTGTTTCTTTTACTGAGATCATTGAATATTAAGAAACCAGAATATCAAATGTGTTTTAATCATTATTTATTTATAAAATAAAAAATCTGTTTTGCTCTCAAAACCCAAAAGTATAACACCAAAACTCCAGGCTGAAGCCCTTGGCTTTGAAAGAGGGTTGCTCCCTGAGACTGATGTATGAACTGCCACCAGTAAGTGGAAGATACCTAATGCTACTCTCTTTGAGCTTATGTCTCACTATATTATAAAGGTTTGTTCCAGAGAGTGTTGGAAGGAGTGAGGAAGAGTTTTCTTGTTACGTGGCATGTATTCTGATGTCACATGTCTATGTGGAATGAAGACGGTGGTATAGATGCTTAAGAGCTGGCTATTAACGGAAAGGTTGATGGTTCGAGCCTGCCCACCC